CCACCCAGACCTAATCCTACCCCAGTGCCAATGGAAGGCTATAAGTAGCAAATTAATGACAACTTCAGAGCTGCAGCCTACCACCACTGATATTAACTGAGCAGCAGGAGGGAGTTCGCCAAGTGGGGATTACAACTAACAAATCCTGTTAAATTGCTGTCAGGATTGTGGAGGGCTCCTTTGTTCAAAGCACTTAGTGACTGATCTGGCCTGGCATATGAATCTGGGGAGCAAGGTGGGTATTGTCTCATGCCCGCCATGACTTCCATGTGGTAATCCCTACTCTCCACTTATGTGTTGTATGGAAAAATGCAAAAAACCACTGAAGTCGCATGGTATACAGACATAAGTATGCACACTTTTCAATTGAGAACGTGATGCCTTGAATCTTTACTGAAGTACTGTATGCAGTATTGCTCCTGTTAACTTTGTAAGGATATTATTGCCAAAGCGCAAGTGTAATGAATATTCAATATACTCATTCCTAGGATGGCTGGGCTGTCCTATGATAAAAGATTGGGAAACTAGGCCTATATTCTCTGGAAATGTAAAAAATGAGAGGTGATCTAATTGAAACATGCGAATGATTGAAGGATAGATAGGGTAGGTGCAGGTAAGATGCTTCCCTGTTTAAGGAGTCTAGAACCAAGTGAAACAATCTCAAAATGATCGGGAAGCTACCTCTCACCAAGGCAAGGAGATATTTTTCTACTCAGAGGGTTTGGAATCTTTGGAATTTTCTCCCGTCGCGAGCTATAGAAGCTCAGTCATGGAGTATTCTTAAAGTACAGATTGGTAAATTTCTAACTACCAATGTTGTAAATGGATATGGGGCTAGTCTGGGTAAAAGGCATTGATCTGGATAATCACACATAATCCAATTAGAATCCAAGCAGTTTCGATGGGCTGAATGGCCAACTCCAGCTTCTATGCTCCCACCAAAAAAAGATCATTAGCCATAAATAAACTATCTTGGATCCTGAAAATACATAGCCTCAGGAATGTTTTAAAGTGCATGTCATTTGGCCTCCATACACACTTGAACAAAATCACCAGTTATTTTCTACAGCGTAACCAAGCGGCTGAAAGTATGCTAATTAAAATAACTTTCCATAATTTGTTCATACTGAAGTTGTGAGGTCCTGGTGAGTTTGAGAGTACTTTAGTAAATAGTTACACCTTCAGTTACTACACCATTCTATTCCTCTGGCACAAATTTGTCTTTTAGAACTTTAAAATTTCACATATTCTTTGATAAGGAGAATGAAGACTGAACGTTGTAATAAAATTGTTAACGTCCAACCATTTGATTAAAAATGAATCATTTTGTTCCTACCAGTTTGAGCAGCATGGATTTATTTTTTGGGGTTCATTTACCTTAATATTTTACATTACCTGGCATCAGTTCTACTGGAGACATTGTAAAATTCCTGCTTTGGTTTGATCCACTAGTGTTCACATTACGGAATTCCAGGATACATGTTTGTTATTAGCTCCACCTGAGGCAGGGATTTTGGAAACTGAGCTAACTTAAGTCACTGAAATAGATCTTGTACAGCATGAGCGCAGCCTATCCTGAGCAGAGATTTTAGGATCACATCACTTCCATCTCTATTAGGTGGAATGGACAGAATTTCTTTGAAAAGCTTCTCCTACTAGTATTTGTCAAAAACATACAGTGAGAATAGTTTCAGAGATAGTAGGAACTGCAGATGCTGGAGAATCTGAGATAACAAGGTGTAGAGCTGGATGAACACAGCAGGCCAAGCAGCATCAGAGGAGCAGGAAAGCTGACGTCTCGGGCCTAGACACTTCTTCAGAAATGGGGGAGGGGAAGGGGATTCTGAAATAAATAGGGAGAGATGGGGTGACAGATAGAAGAGGATAAAGGAGAAGATAGGTGGAGAGGAGACAGACAGGTCAAAGAGGTGGGGGTGGAGCCAGTAAAGGTGAGTGTAGGTGGGGAGTTAGGGAGGGGATAGGTCAGTCCAGGGAGGACGGACAGGTCAAGGGGGTGGGATGAGGTTGGTCGGTAGGAGATGGAGGTGCGGCTTGGGG